GAGTGAGAATGTGTGACTGATCCTTGGAGGAGTGCGCAAGCATCAACGTGAGAAGAAGACTAGAAGACAGCCAGAAACTGAGAACTGAGGTTTTCATATCTTCATAAGTCAGCAACAGTTGTCAGAGCTGTAACTTCTGAAGGGAAGCTTTCAGCTGGCTGTCAGGGGAGTGCTGCCCATCAGAAAAGGGGCATGCTGGTAGGCTGTGTAGGGATGGGGTCAGGAAGGCCAGGGCCCAACTGGAACTGGCAAAGGGTGCAGAGTGAAGTAAGGGCTTCTATATATATACATACACATCATTCTCCTGCACTTTCCTGTTCTGGTTGTATTTCCACCTAGTCAGCAATATAGACAAGCTGGTAAGAATGGAGAAGGAGAAGGCTGAGCTACTCAACAACGTTTCTGCCTCAGTCTTCACTGGCGACTGCTCTACACCCAGCCCTCAAGTGGGCAGTTTAGAAGGTGGGAACTGGGGGAGCAGTGTCCTTCCTGCTGTAAGTGAAAATCAGTTTTGCAACTACCTGAGGGAACTGAACATCCATACACTTAAGTGTCCTGAAGAGATGCATCCCTTAGTCTTGAAGAAACTGGCTGATGTAAGTCACCAAGCCACATTCAATGCTATTTCAAAAGCCATGGGGGCCAGGTGCTAGTGACTGGAAATTATCACACCCATTTTTAAGAAGGGTAGAAAGGACAGCCCAAGAAACTGCTGACCTGTCAGCCTCACCTCTGTGCTGAGGAAGATCATGGAGCAGATCGTTCTATAAGCTATACTAAGGCATATGGAAGAGAGAAAGGTGATTGGGACAACCAGTGTAACTTCACCAAGAGCACGTCCTGCCTGATCGACTAGTGGTCTGTGATGGTGTAACTGCATCAATGGATAAAGGATGAGCTTTTGATGTCATGGGTCTGAACTTCAGCAAGGCCTTTGAGGTGATCTTGCCTCTCTACTCTGTGCTGTGCTCATCTGGAGTACTGTGTCCAGGTGCGGATTCCTCAGCGCACACACACAGATGTGGACCTGTTGGAGCACAGCCAGAAGAGGGTCACAGAAATGATCCTAGGAACACCTCCCCTCTGAGGACAGGTTGAGAGCTGGTGCTGTTTAGCCTGGAGAAGGCTCCAGGGAGACCTGAGAGCAGCCTTTCAGTGTCTAAAGGGAGGCTGTAAGAAGGAAGGGGACAGACTCTTTAGCAGGTCTACTGTGATAGGACAAGGGGAAATGGTTTTAAACTAAAAGGGGAGATTTAGGTTAGATAGGAGGAAGAAGTTTTCTACAGTAGGGGTGATGAGGCATTGGAGCAGGTTGCCCAGAGAGGTGGTGGATGCCCCATTCATGGAGACACTCGAGGTCAGGCTGGATGGGGCTCTGAGCAACCTGATGTACCTGTGGGTGTCCCTGTTCACTGCAGGGGGGTCGTTGCAGGGCTTTTAAAGATCCCTTCCAACTCAAAACAATTCTAAAAGATTTGTTGCATCCCAAACCAGATTTGGGGTGCGCAAACAACAACCCTGTGTCTCAGCAGGGTCGTTTCTCTCCCCACTCCCCTCCCCTTAGCAGACAGCTGCTGGTGAAGAGCAGCAGCTTCCCAGCATCTCTGCAGCTCCATGGTGCTCACCATGGCTGCGGGCATCAGACACTGAGGCAGTGCCTTGGCATGTTGCTGGACATGGTCTGGAGGAGCAAAATTTTCCTCCCAGCAAAGGTCATTCTTAACTGGATGGACACAGCAACCCTGCAATGGGGCTCAGCCTCAGTTGGAACCTTGGAGAAACACCACTCCCAAAACGCATGCTCTCACTCACCAGGCTGTATGTGCTGCTCAGCATTCCCTGGCAAAAGGCACTGAAAAAATCTAGCATAAATCTCAAAGTGGTCCCAATGTTTTGCATCACAAATCTCCTGCCTTCAGCACTGATGATCAGCTCTGAGCCATGGTGCGCAGATACCTCTGTGAATGTTTCTTGACTGAGTGCAACCCCTCATCTGACATCCTTGCACTTCTGCTCTTCTCATCCCAGAGCAGCTGCAACACAGAGAAAAGTGCAACCCTACTGAAAACAACTCAAAGCATGGTTATTGCTGGGGCTCTGCTGGTGCTGTCTTGCAGCAGGATGTCCCACGGCCCCATGTGCATGAGGAGGGACGGCACAAAGCATTTGCTTTCATCCAGCCTGAACCATTTGTCTTGCAGCTCCATTAAGTGACCTCTTGCTAAGTCATCTGGAGCTGTAAAGTAAATTGGCGCAACCATCTGGCTTGGTCCTGTTCCTTATTTAATATATTGCTAACATATCTGCCTGCATCTGATCAGTTTTATTGCTCTTTGCTAATCGCTCCTTTTTCATCTCACGTTTCCCCTTTCCCATTAAGGTCCAGCTACACACGGGCTGTGTGTGCTCGAGGGCAGAGCTGGCAGCAGGTTGGAGCCCCCAAGCCGTGCCTCCACCCCCAGTACCAGGGTGGGGAAATGAGCAGTGGGAAAGGCAGTGGGGTCCCGGTACAGCTTAGGGCATGGAGCTGTGGCTGCGTGGGGTGGGAGTGCATAGAGATGCGTGGCTGCAGTACTGCAGCCCCAGGGCCCGGTGCTGGCAGCCAGGGCAAAGGGCGCTTCCCCCCCACTGCTGCATGCCAGAGGGGAACAGGGCTTGGAAAGCAAACAAAGGGAGCGAGGGAAATATCTTGGATAGGAGATAGAGAGCATAAGTTATAAGTCTTCAGGGAGGCGCAGGCGTGTGTGCGTGAATGAGGATGCGGCGAGCTGCAACTTTGATCTCCCAGGACATCTGGCATGTGGGCATCCGCTGTACAGCTGCCTGCAGGGCAGGCTCAGGGACATGTGTGACTGTGGGAGGGGTGGAAACCCATAGTGGGAGCGGAGCCATTTCCCATGCTCTGTGCTCCCCCTCCTTCAAAGCAGGCAGGCGGCATTAACCCCGCAGAATACAGTGGGGGCAAAGTAGCACCTGCCCCCACTCCCACTGCTCCCACGGCCCTGAGGAGCCACTAGCATGCATGTGTGAGGCAGGCCAAGGCGCGTGCTGGGAGCTGAGGGCACGGTGCTCGGCCTGAAAGTCAGCATGCAGCTCCTTCCTAGTGCCTGTGCAGGCACTGGGGTGCAGGAAGCCTGTGGCTGGAGTTACACACGGGCAGCGTGATGTCCTGAAAGTCTCCATACTGAACACAGAATGGATTGCTTCCCAGGGGAATCTGTGTTTGGAGACCAGGAAGCATGCTGGGACGAGTCTCCCTGGGGAAGTGGAGATCAGAGGGCAGGCAGCCAAGGGGTGCAGGGCTGCCCAGTGTGCACAGACCATGTCCTCAGGGAACATCACTCTGTATGCAGGGATGTCTTCAAAGGGGAGACCCCAGCACTGCTGGGATGGATTTCCCCTTGGGAAGCCAAGTGTGGAGGCAGGCATCCTCGGGGTAGGGATATGGTTTGCTGCTTGCTTTCCTAATTAAACACAAAGCCTGGCCTGGAAACCTCCCGCAGCAGTCAGGACCGTAGCAGTAGCAAAGCTGTTTCGCCCAGGCCTTTCCCTGTGGGGCCATGCAGGATGTGGCCCTGCCCCAGCCCCCAGTCCCAGCAGGGTGATGGATGGACTCTCCTCTGCCATGGCCAAAACAAAGGTCACGGCTTAAGGAAATTGCAAACAACCTGTGCCCACTGGCCCCGGAAGGAGTGGTGCAGTCGTGACAGGGGGTGAACTTTTGTGATCCCACCATGCTGGCAGTCGCACAGGGAAAGGAATTTACAAAAAAAGGAGCAGGCTCCCAGCTGGGAACATCCAGCTTCCTTGGGGCTGGAAGTTTCACCCATGGGGAAACACCATTTCCATTTCTTCCTTCCTCCTTGGGCACCCCAAGGGCATGCTGCCTGTTAGCTCTAGCAAAGCTACCCCATACTTTCAATGCAAATCCCATGCCAGAGCTCTCTGCGGGAGCAGCCATTTGTTTCCATGCGCTGAGCTGATGCCCATGGCACTCAATCGATTTGAGACCTCCAGCCACCCCTGATCCACACCCGCATGGACCAGCTGCTGATTGCCATGATAGGGCTGGACAAAAGGGAGGCACGCATCCTAGTTTGTGGGGAAAAGGAAGTTAGAAAGGAAGACAGGAGTTTAAAGCATCAGAAAAAGCTCTTTCTGAGGACCAGGTTTCCAGACCCACAGTGGGAAGGGGAGATATGAGACTGGTGCCAGCAGATATTAAGATGGAAGGTGAGGAAGGAGGGGTACGTGGGGGGCCTGCTGCTGCCCATGGGGCTACTGACAGCATCCTGCCAAGGCTGGGTCATGGCAGCTCCTGCAGCACAGATGGGCTTTGTCCTGGCTGCAGCTGCAGGGCTCTGAGTGATGCCCCCCCCCCCGGACTGGTTCCAATTAGCATCAGCGCCCAAGGATGAGGAGCAGTGCCCCTCCAGCCCCTGACCCATGCTTCCTGGGACTGCAGCGGCTGCATTCCTCCCAGCCTAAATTGGACAGCTTGCTCTCATCACTCTGGATGTGAGAAGAGATGTGACAGAAAACTAAGTCAGCCCTGAGGCTCCCAAGCCACCCGGGGAGCAGGGACACACTGGGAGTCACCATCAACTCTTGGCCAGTTCATTTTCCTATATTTGCTGGCAGCCTGACGCTGCTTAGGGCACAAAGAGGGACAGAAGAGCTACAGCAGCAGGAGGAGGTCTTCCTTTGGCCTGTGAGCACGGGGTCCTTTGTGTGAACCTCTTTGTGGGAGTGCAGATGGGCCCGGGGAAGCTGTCGGGCAGGAGATGTGAGCAGCAGCATCTGTTAGCAGCCTGCTGGGGACAGAGGGAGCTCTCAGCAGTGCCAAGCCAGGCAGGCATGCAGCGATTCCCTGTGTTGGAAAGAAATGGATTACAGGCAGTGTGGCCCTGTGCAGCCCTGGCCTTGCCTGTGTGCTCCCCACCCAGCCCACCCGCTGTCCCTGCAAAGGGAGACGAGAAAACACACCGCAGGCAGGGAGATTGCTATTTTAAGAACGTACTTTATACAAAATAACCAATTCATATGGAAATAAAATCTACAGACCTCCAAGGATCAAGCTTTTAAAAAAGTTCTTTAAAAAAATTACCCAACACACAGTATTAAACTAACTATTGAGGTAACTGTCGCTCTGGGGAACAAAGGTAATCAGCAGACCAAGACAAAATATACACAATATAAAAATAAATAGCATTCCCCTTTCCAGTATTGACCAGGAAAGTTCACACGACCTTGCAGCAGCAGGAGAGAGAGGAGGATCCCTGACACTGTGCTCTATGGGATGGGGAGAGAGGCGGGCACGAGGGCCAGCGCAGGCTGGCAGCTGCGGCTCAAATTTGTCCTTGCACTGAGAAATTGGGGCTGCTGGCTTCAGCCCTCCCTTTGCTCAGCAGCTGGGCAGCTCGGCTGCTACCCGAGCCAAGGATGAGTGGGACCAGCCCTGAGCAGGAGAGCCCTGTCCAGGGCCCTGCATGCTCAGATCCCCCCACCTGAGAATGCGAGCAGGGTTTCCACTCAGGCTGGGAGGTTGCTGCCCAGCACCGACTCGCCCTCCTGCTGCCCATGATAGTCGCCATGGGTTGACAGGGCCTGGTTTAGCCCCCACAGCTGCTGGGCCCCTCCCCACCCAGCACCAAAACACACAGCAACTCATCAACAGTCTCACCCAGAAAGAGAACGGCCCCGTGTCCTCCTTGTGCTCCCAACAGACAGATTACATTCTTTACAAACTTACAATAATACAAAAGAAAAAAATCCAACCCAAATGACAAAGCAAACCAACCCCACCCAACATCACCCCACTTCAGAAAACGGATGCAGTAGCATTGGCTCTCCCACTCCCAGTGCCAAGCCAGACAGCTCTGGATGCTCCCCTGACCCGGAGGCACAAAGTCAGGGCATGCCAACAACAGGCACCCCCTCCTGCCAGTCCTGAATCCAGGCTCGGCTCCAGTTGTTCTTTTCCTGACCTAAACCAACCCATCGGTCACTGGGAAAGCAGCCATGTGGCAGCAGGGCTGCAGGAAGCACCTCGCTTCCCAGCCACGTCCTGGAGCCCTGAAGTGTGGTTTGTAGCCATCCCCTCCCTGCCATGACACAGGAAGGTTGGAGCTGCACTGCTGCACACTGTTATCACTCAGGGAAATTAGGCAGCAGTGCTCACTGAGGTTGCCAAGGAATAGAGCTAACAGTTTTCTGGGCTGTACACAGCATTTTTTTTGTTAACCAAAGTTACCACAGAGGTAGACACAGCAGGTCCCACTCTGCAGTGGTGCCTGGCAGAGGGATGGCACCCAGTGCCACACAGTGAGCCCAGTGGATAGGAGGGCACTGCTGGACGCCAAGGACACCTTGATGTCACAGGGAGGGTGATGTGCACTCCCTGCCTGCTTTCTGCCTGCGTGTGCAGAGGAGACAGCTGGTGAGCTGAACCTTCTGCCCCTCCACGGACAGCGAGCTGCTGTCTCTGCATCTGACAGCAGTGGTGAAGCACAGACTGAAGGAGCTTGAAAACTAGGTAGCAAGGAGAAGGGAAGCACTGGTGCATGACACAAAGCAAAAGCCCACGCCCTGGTTCCTGCAGCTGCTTGGCTGCCTTGGGACAGGAGGATGCTGCTGCACAACTTCAACTTGCCCTGTGTGGATTGGAAGGCCCAAAGAGTCCCTTGGCAGCCCCTGGCCCAACGTTGCCCACACTGAGGAAACTGCCCACGGTCAGTTCCACTTCTAATCAGGTGCCAATTTCCCAATTACTGCTCTTCTGCCAGCGAGCCACGTTTTTCCCAAACAAACAAAAGCAATGGATAGAGAGACCTTGTGGAGCTGGTGACAATCCCAATGATTCTTTAGCCCTAATTATTCTCTCATCTCCCTTTCCACTGCTGGATGCAGTCATGGCTCTCTCCTGCATGCACCCTCCTCTGACATCCACATTTTAGAAAGAGGAAGAGCTGTGCCGTATCTCCACTGCTGCAGAACAAGGAGGAAAAGCCCAAGTGGGTACTAGGCTATCAGCATTAAAACTACAAAGAGCCCATGGTCTCTCAGACACTGCATATAAGTGCAGAATGCACAGAAAGCTGACAGCCTTCAGTGGAGCAGACAAATGCGGGTCGTTCTCTCATTATACTTTCATCTTAAATGGAGAAGTGTTGCTGTAAAGAAAGAGAAGCTGCCTCAGTCAGCAGAACGAGAGACAGCCCCCGTGATGAGCTTTCAGATAAGACATCAAGAAGCTGATAGCTCTCCAAGACCCCAAGAAACCACACGTACAAAAATACACACAGGAGATTTGCTTCAGAATTCTGCATGGGAAAGGCATTCAGCAGATGAGAAAGAACTAGAAGCCATTCCAAGAAAAGTGTCTTCGTGTACTTTAAAGTCACAGATCAAACCAGCCAGGCCTTGAAACTTCAAATTTGCTTTCCTCTTTTGTCCTTTTCATTGCAGCCTGGTACTGTGGCTTGCCACCACACGCTTTGGTCACACCATGGCATTTTAAAGACTGCAAACTTCTGCTCTGGACACGGCTCAGATCCCTGCCAACCCTCAGCTACTGATCTTCCCAAAATACTTGGTTCAATTGCCAGGGCCCCATGGTGCTGAAGATGCCAAAAGTTCCCAGAGTCAAAGATGATACAACTGCATTTAGAATGGGACTGAGCATCACGTGCCACTTGTACCACAAGAGCATTAGGAGATTTTGGCATGCTCAGCGCTGTGTTTGTTCTATTATGCAATCTTGTTCGACACCTACAAGGGCTGCTATGAAAGTAATGCCTCCTATTTTATTCTGCTGGCCCACGATGCCAGAATTGAATGTTGGTGATATGGCAGTTGAACCCTCTCACCAATATTCTGTTACACTTTGTTGCCATGTGACAGATGGCAGCAGAAAGGCAGTCTGACAGAATGGCATCTGACATGGAAGTGTGTTTAAAGCAGAAGCACAGAACTGAATTCCTCCATGCGGGAAAAGAGAGGAAATAAACAGGAGGCATAACTTTGAGAGTGACCTACATCTATAATTACAAAACACGTATTTCATATGAAAAAAAATAATACCCACAGGAAACTTTGCAAAGTCACTTGCCCAATATGCCTTCTGAAAAAGGTTCACTTGGCAATATACTGTACTACAGCACTGCAGAGGATGAGAAAGAGGAGGTTCTCATCAGATTCCAGAATTTTCCTGTACTCTGCTGAAAAGTCTTTCGAGTGACGTGAATACAATAATCAAAGGCTATTTTAAAAAATGCAGCTACTTTTGTTCAGCACTGTACACCAACTCAAGGAAAACAACCTCAGCTTGTACCTAAAGAGCTGCTGGTTTACTCTATTCTAAATCCCTCGTTAAATCTGTCCCTTTAACAGTATCTACAAACCAGCCCACACAGCATAGGTGGGAGACCAGAAACAATGAAAATTTCATTCTCTGCTTCTCTCTGTGCACTTTTGCTGTTGTCCCACCCCACTAACTGCTCCCGGTCTCTGGGAGGTGCAAATTTTCAGTTATTTGTTCAGATTGTACCCAGCGAGATAAAACTCTGATTTTGGGGGGAAAAAGGGGTGGTGTGCTTAGATATCATCACAAAACAACAACAACAACAACAAAAATAGAATCCAATCCAAACACAACCCACAAACATTACTGAGCAAAGTATTTCAAAGTCTGGAAACTCAGAACTAAGGTTCCACAAGCAACACTTGGCCCTGTCCCTAAGATATCCCTGTAGTCCAGCCATTGTTCCCTCTGTGCTACATCAGCTCTTTTCTAATACAAACCACGTGTCCCCCCAGTAGCAACTAACTTCTGTTAGTCACTTTCATCACAACTACCAACTACCAATCAAAAGCCATTTACTCAGAAACCCTCTCAACCCTGCCAGGTAAGGGACAGCACGCCTCATACTCCATATAGGATCCTAGGGCTATCTATCACTGCCTAACTCTCCATTACCTTCTCTGCAGGCAGACCACAAGCAATTCTTGCCTTATTCCTCCTGTTTTGACCTAGGGTTGGCACCCATCCAGATACTGTGACCCCCCCGTGTTCTCAGTGCCAGTTCCAGATGAAGATCAAGAGTGCTCTGGCTTTTTTTATACCATCTAAAACCTCCTATTCCATAAAGTTCTCCATAAGCTCAAAGGCACTTCAAGTATCTGGGTAACCATCCTTGATGCAGAAGACATAGGCTGAAGTACAACAAGGGTTGTTTGCAGAAGACGCATTCATGTTCCCAGCATTTCAAATACTTTGCTCTAAGTTAGACTTTACAGAGCCTCCATTTTTAATGAAAATTAACTACGAAAACTAAAGACAGCCTTAAAAAGAGAAGCAATTGCTTCTTCATTTGTCCTAAGCTCGCTGAACTGAACAGTGGTTACACTTACACTCATTCTCACACCAAAGTCTTCCTCTGGGGAGGAGCCAGAAGAGGGAGCAGCTGCAGGCCACGGGCTGGCTGAAGCACTCAGTAAGGAGCAGTCTCATAAACACACCTGTGGGACTAGCAGGAAGAAGTTCTAACTCCTGTTAGGCTCGGTGTGGCCATGCATGCTGATGCAAAGCAGCTACTATGGGTGACGGCACCATCTGAAATGGCAACACAGGCAGATAAATTCTCCAGAAACCTGAAGCCAGGAACCCTTCCCTGGCTGCTACTGCAGACTCTGGGGCATGCTGTTCTGTCCTCACACGCTCACCTCTGCTACCACAATTTGGCAGGCACAATGGCACATCCTAATTACACTACTGTCCCTTCAATGCCAACTGCAGCCCATACTGAGGCTGTGATCCAGATCTTTCTGCCCAGACTTGCAGTGTAGCAACTCTACCTGGCTTTACTCCAGCTCTGCCAAAAACATTCACCTATGTTAGTTTTAACATAGTTTATGTGGATACATACCTGCTGATGAGATTTCTAAGCAACTTGTCAAAACTACACTTCAGCGTCTGGCCAAAGACTTGGGGCACAGGGGTTCCTCTGTGCAGTGCCACTGCTGGTGAAGAGTCCCTACAGACTGTGTATTGACTTGAGGGAAGTTGCCACCAGCCTGTGGAACATGCTACTATAGCACCAAAGATGGAGAAGAACAGACTCCATTCAAGCACACAGCTCTCTTGTCTCTTACTGAGCCATTCCATCAACTCCAGATTTCAAATCAGTGCTTGCTGAATCACCTGCTACTTGCTGCAAGCAAACCCAATTCCTCAGGCCAACAAACAGCTCACACTGTAGCAAACTGCTCCATCAAACCAACCTCATGCTCTTCCACAGGCAACTGAGATGTCAGGGATCTCAGCTTACTTTCTGCTTTACTGCTGCCCGTAGGTAAATATAGCAAAGGACAGAGAAACTAAGGAGGGATGCAGTTCCCTTCCTTGTCAGCAGGGAATACAGCCCTGTACAACACTTGTTCCATGGGGTAGGTGCTGCTCCACAGTCTGCAGGCACTGGTTTCACCAAAATAAGTCCAAGGTGACCAACTGGGCCCTTTCTTGTTTCCTTGAGTACAAACTACTCCTACGAGAAAGGCAGGGAGAAGGGTACTACGCTAGCAGAAGGGACAATTCTGTGAGCGTCCTGTGCTGGTTTCAATTCCTGGTCCTGGTTTCCTTGTTCCCCCATGATGACAGGAGCTGGAAGTGCACTCAGGCCCTGGATCTGGAGGGGCAGAGGCAGGGGTGAGAGTGAAGGAGGAAGAGGAGAAGAGAAAAAGGAGGACACGTTATGCTCCTGAGCAATTCCTGATATTCAGCCTAACAACTATCGGGCGGCGTCACAGCTGCAAAGGACAGCAAATCATTCATCGCATGTTCCCTGACCTCTCCCCGCTCCCCCAGACCCTCACCCTATCCTGAAAGACTTCAGTGTGATATGATTGTAAACAGATTCCTCCAGTGCTAAGCCCACTACAAGCTGGGCCCACCCCCTCCCCCATTATGTACAATACATTCACCAACAACAGAAATTTATTTAAAAAGGCAACAGGTTAAATTCTGTAAACTGGATCCAGCTCCAAAACACACACGTTAATACTACAAGTAAAATTCCATCATCGTCCTCTTCCACCCTGAAAAATATACCTGAGTTTAGCAGTCAATGAAAGTTCCAGCCCCCACCCCCACCCTCCCCACCCCAAAATCCCTCAAACCCTGAACGAGACGCAGTCTCCAGTCACAGAAAGCCACTAGTTTGGCCATGCTCGCCCCGTGCTGGCAAGCCGGCTGCTCGGCCGGTTGGCTGGGGCCCAGCACAGCTCCGGAATTCCAGCGCTAACGCCGTCGGGATGCTGCGATCCGTGGACCCGGGAAGCTACATGCTGCTTGGATGAGGGGAGGGTGGGAGGAAGGCCTGCCCCTCCTCCCCTTTGTCCAAATTACGTGTGGCTTTCATCTTCGTGAGGTCCTTCCTTCCTCAGACTAGCTCTGGAAGAAGAAAAAGAGGAGTTGGAGACCTTCAACTAGCAGCTGTAGAAAGGAGCAACCTCACAATTTCATGCTATTACTCCAAAGCTGGCACTACCCGTGCTAACAGATAGTCAACTAGTCAGCACAGTCAACTATGACAAAATAGACATCTCCAGCTCCTCTGCCTATCAGTAAGCTCACTTCCCAGCTTCCTCCAACGCTTCCCACTGCTAGAAAATACTTCACTCCTTTAACTGGCAGAGCAAGAAAAGGCTCTCATCTGAGCTCTGCTCTCCTTGGTGGCCCTTACTTGATCCAGAGGCAACGCTGATGATTTTTGTGGCGTCAGATCTTCTCGAGACATGGTTGCTGTAGGCATCTTCGGGAAAGGAACTTGAGCCTGATGCATTTGCATTCTGTAGTCAGGTTTAATGGAGAGAGTTTTAGCACATTAACATCAAGGATAAACCCCATCTACCTGGATGAATGCAAACATGCACCACTCACACAGAAGCACTGAAACAGACTTCAAAACAAGGCTAACTTCCACTTCAGTTAGCTACTCCCTCCACTATGAATAGATGCAACAAAATTCTTGCAAAGAAAATGGTCAGAGACCTTTTGATTAAGAGATGCACAACACCAGACGACACATTAACAAAATACCATCAGATAAAACAAAGCCCTGGTGTGGGAATGGAACGGACAAGCTAACAGGTCTCCATGATAGCTAATATTACTTGTTTTAAAAAGCTGCAGTAAGACTCTGCAGCTCCCAGAAAGGTTTAACCATCTGTTAGCCCTCCATAGTACCTGAGACTTCAGTCTGGGCCTTTCAAGGATACCGAACACACGCTGCTACCCAGGCATCGCTCCCTCCCATCTCACCTTCTCACAGAAAACATGCTCTTACCCCGATGGTCTATACAAGTCCTGGGGTGGCCCCCCCATGCCACCTCCACTGCCTCTCTGCTCCATCAGCAAGGCCTGAAAGTGACCTATGTTCTCCTCCCGGCAGCGGTACAGGGGTCCCTCCTGAGAGAGGCCATTAGCTTGGCCAGGGGCTGGATGATGAGACAGGTGGGCATTCATGGGTGATCCGTACGTCCTGGGCTGGAAATGACCGGCGGGATGCCGGGATGTGTAGGGAGAGCCAGTCTGCAGCATCATCCCGTGGGGAGGGAAAGCTGATGGCCCAAATCCCATTCCCGAACCCAGGTGAGGTGGGGGAGCTCCATAGAGAAACTCTCCTGCTGCCACCGAGCTTTGCCTCTTCGTGGCTGCGTTGTGGTTGTCCAAATCTAGGAATTCTTTGGGACTCTCCGGCCGCTCCTGGGATTCCTCAGACTTCTCATCTTCAGGCCCCAGATCCTGCCCGTCGCTTGGAGAAACCTCTTTGGCACTCGCTACGTCCATGCGGTTGGGAGAAGCCAGGGCAGCACTCAGTGCCTCGCAGCCCTGCAAGCTGCTCACATTCCCCCGGTCAGAGAAAGGGGGTCTGGCCAGGGGTGGGTGGCCGCTGGGGCTGGCCTGGGGGTGAAGAGGCCTCTGCCAGTCCGAGTAGCCCTGCGGACAGGCGTAGTAGGGTGGCCGCTGGTAGTGGTGGTATGAAGGTTGAGGCTGGGGCTGGTAGGGGTAGGGCATGCCCTGGTGGGGCCGATAGCGAGGGAAGACCCCGGGATGGGCACTGCTTGGCTGGAAGCCCCGTGCAGGAAAATGCTGCGGGTGGGACACTGGGGGAGGCTTCCCACCCATCACTGGGCTGAACCCTTGCAGCCCCGGGTTGATGTGATAACGAGCAGCTGAATTCGGGTATTCCAGACCCGGCATGTAGAGAGGGTGGAACTGGTTGGGGGCAGCTCCCACGGTGCCAGCATCCATGGTGGGAAGGCTGGTGCCCTGCCCCATGCAAGGCACGGCAGCTTCGGGCAGAGCCTTCCCTCCACCGCAGAGGGGCTTCTCCATCAGGCTGGCAGCCAACCCCTTGCTCTCTGCCGGCCCTTCGCCCGCTGCCCCGTTTTCAGACACGGGTCCTCCTCGCTCAGGGGTGGATGCCAGGTCCCTCATGCACCCCTGGGCAGCTGGGCCGGCAAAGCTGCTCTCGGCCGGCCACGTGCCCTTGCTCTGGTTGGCCTTCAGATCACTCTTCAGGCCGGAGCCATCTCCCTCCCCATCTGGGGGCAGGTTGCGCCGGGCACACTCCATGGGCAGGGGGGGCTTGGGATGAGGTAGGAGTTTGGCGTAGGCCCTGTCGGGAATGCCGATGCACTGAGCCTTCTCCTCCACGCCGGCCAGTGGCTCCACTGGAAAGAGAGGGTGTAAATGTCAGGTGCTGGTCTTGTTTTGGAAGGCAGCCCTCCTGAACCCACACCCATGCCCACCCAAAGTGGATTTGCCAAAAAATAATTCCTCTCAGCTGAGTCAGATATGCCAAAACAACCTCCCAGGGCCCACTTTTGGCAGAGAGAACAGCAGCCTCATTCATGATGGGTTTCTCTTCTCTATGGCTGCTGACACAAAACCACAGCAAAAACCTGAGGGGTGGCTCTGACACATCCTCAACATTTGGTTGGAGAAAGTACCCCAAGGTGCTGAACTGTGCAAAAGGAAGGGGAGTGACTTTCTAAAGCCACAAAGATGGTTCCATTAGAGATTTTAAAGTGCTTCAAAGCCTAAAATACCTCATCCCCTACTCAACTCTATTCACACCATGGCCAGAGCACAGCACGAGGATAAATGTGAACTCTGTGGGGCTGCAGCTTTCCTCTCACAGCCAATGGAAAGCTCTTCTTTCACAGATCCTCAGAAATCCCAAAGGGCATTTTTGCAAAGCTGGGCAATCTTTTAAGAGCTTGTTCTTTCAAAAGAGCTCTTTTCAATACTACTCATGAGGTTGCACACCTCTCAGGGAAAGATGGCATATGTGAACTGAGTCCTTATGATTTCCATTAAGATACAACCCTACTGTAGAGAGCAAATCACCATCAGAGTAACATGGCACACATGGCTTTGGTCTGACAGATGGGCATGCAGAGGCTGCCTCATAGAAAGGCTGCACTAGAAAATACTGCATGTTCGCCACGAGAGTGAGCTCAAAGCTGGGGCTTTTTTGATTTCAGGTTGTATTGCCCTTTCTGGGCCACAAACCCTGCTTGCCTGCAGTTGGGCAAGAGCACTGCCACATACCAAGGCACTGTGAAGCCAATCACAGCCACGTTTTAACCAACTATGATTTGGAGATCACAAGAAGGCTGAGGTTGTAATGGACCTTAAAGATCATAGATCATCCAACCCCCTGCCATGGGCTGGCTGCTCCCCACCAGTGCAGGCTGCCCAAGACCCCATCTAACCTGGCCTTGAACAGCTCCAAGGATGGGGCATCCACAGCTTCTCTGGGCAGCTGTGCCAGGGACTCACCACCCTGACTAAAGAATTATTTCCTAATATTTAACCTAAGTATCCTATCTTTTAATTTAAAGCCATTCCCCCTTGTCCTATTCACTATCAGACTGCATAAAAAACTCGAAGATGCGGCCACTCTGCTCTGAAATCACCCAGTGTTCTCTCCCAGTCTCTGTTCTATATCCAGCACAGCTAAATGATAATGAGTTTTAAGCAATGCCACACAAGGAAAGAGTTTCCTCTTACTTTAAGGCACACAAGGCATTGATAAAAATACAAGGTTTTTGATCTCTAGTTTACCAGCTAGAATTAATGAAATATTTGTTTTTGATCTCTAGGGTTTTTTGATCTCTACTTTAGGTTTAAGGTTTTTTTGATCTCTAGATTACCAGCTAGAGTGAATGAAATTCCACTAGAAAGAAACTCGTGGTGGCACATATGACACATTGCCATCCCATCTCAACTGACATGGCTGCTCAGCGCCTTGCTGGCACTCCTCCTCTGTGAAGATATTGAGACATTAAGCTCATGAGGCAGATGTGCATTTCAGAGAAGTCACACTGACAGACACTCAAAGAAGTGTATTTAAACCATTTACGCACACTACATTTACTCTCCTAACTCTTTGCAGACTCAATTTTTATATTAAATCCAAGTGAGCTGTAAGAAGCATCACACACTGTGCTTTGCATTTGCACCCAAAGGCAAACTGATAACTTGCAGGTATAACTGGCAAGGAGGGGATCTCTGGCAGGCTACAGGAAGATGAAAAATCTTAGGAAAACTTCAGTGATGGCTGGAGCAGGAAATGTATAAAATATATAAAAGAAAAAGTATGTATACAAATGATGTGCCCCACAGCTATTTGATCAGTAATTTAATTCTTTTCTTGAACAAAACTCGCTTTTGCTGCTGAGCCTCTGCCAGTGTTTAAAATGGACTCTGGTGAGTCTGAAAAAAAAAAAACACCAAAAAACTTCCCTCCTCTTTAGTGGTGCAAATCTGAATAAAACCACATCTACAGATACAGGCTTTGTGCGTCAGCAACACAACTAAGGTTGGTACACCAAGACTTCAGAGCAGTAGAGCTACTCTTTGTGAATGCCCATCCACTGGAAACAGCTCCTTGCTCCCCATAGGCACAAAAAACATAGAATCATTTGAGTTGGAAGAGACCTCTAAAGGTCATCTAGTCCCACTTCCCTGCAACAAACAGAGACATCTACAGCTAGAAGGACCCATGAGGCTGCATCCTCTACATCCAGAGTCCCTGGCAGTAGCAAAGTCAGACAAAAAGCTTCTATGTGGCCTCTGGTCAGCCATGGGGAGTTACCTTGGTTGCTCTCCGGCTCCATGGTCTGATCCTGTGAGCTCCCATTCCCAACGACAGGCTTTGGGGGTGGCATGCCAGTGGAGGCAGCGTGAGCCAGCTGGGGAAAGGGCCCGGGAAGGTGCGGCGGGGGCGGCTGGCGAGGGTGGTAAGGCACGCCTGGCGGGCACACACGGGATGACAGCTGCTGCATGGCGATCATCTCTGGGCTGTCCATCATGGAGTCCCCACCCTGGCACCCTCTTTGAACCTGAGGCGGTCCCCCAAAAAGAGCGGCTGGTGGCTGCGGCATTCTCTGGCTGGCGGTTTTCCCAGGTGGTCTGATATACCCTGAGGGAGGCACCCCGTGAGGTAGAAAGTTTGATTGCTCAGTCCACTGGCTGGGAGGCAGAGGTGCCCGTATGGCCCGGGGCTCCATCATATGGCCGATGGCACGGGGCTGGAGCGAGGGCGCTGGCCCCAGGGGTGCCTTCTCCTCTGGCCCCACCGCACTCTGGCCGCTGGCTCCATGGCTGCCATTCCACAAGGCAGGGTGCCCACGGTTCAGGTACTTGTAGGGTCGGTACATGTGTCCTGGTGGCATCTCGGAACCTTCTGGCGGCCTCACTGGAGGCCCGTTGTGCCTGGGAGGAAGGAATCCCTGCTGGAACTGCGCTGCTGAGTAGACGGCGTCAGGAGGGGGTCCACTCATGCACCCAAGCTGCAAGGCGCTGGGACGGGGTCCAAGACCAGCAATGTGGGTCGGCCCTGCACACACCTGCTTCTCGGGAGTGGCCAGCCTGTGCCCTCGGTGCTCGCTCAGTCCCACGGCAGGCTGGGGAAGGAAAGAGAGTGGCTGAGTATCAGTTGGAGGAAGGTGGGTAAGCACCATCACCGGTGCGTTCTGAAGAGAGGCACCAAGGAGAGCAGAGGGGATCTGCAAAGCGCCTTTGCTTTATTACTACCAAAACAGACAGCAGCGTTTGTAGAAACTATGGTGGTTTTTCTTTGTTGTTGTTGGCTTTTTTTGTTTGTTTTTCCTCCATTTGTTTGTTTGTTTTTACCTGCATGGCAAAGTGCTGGTGCTGTTGAACCGGGTCTCCAGGATGGGGCTCTGGCACTCGCGGTGAGCCATAAAGTTTCGTTGGATCTGATCCACGCAGGGGTCCAAACGTTCCTGGTACGGCTGGTCTCTGGGGGACGAGGAGGCGTGCGGGAGGGAGAAATAAAACCATTTGTGAAATGCAAAAAGGCAGCAGAACAGCTTCAAGCATGGACAAGTCAAGATCTAAAGAACCATACAGAAAGCAGATGGACTTTTTGTAGATACCATGAAAAACCCATAGGCTCTCTCATGAGATGACACAGTTCCCCAGTCTCTCTCTTTTGTGTCCCTAGGCTCAAGCTGTGGTACACTCACACACCTCCCAGCTATTTAGGAGCAAACAAGAAGACTGGAGGGGACAGGGTTCCTCTCCTTGGAGCAAACCACAGGAGCACATAAGTAGAATGGCAGGGAATGTGCTGGATTTCTTTCACAAGAATAGCTGGCTCCAGCTCTCCTACTGGCTTTCACTGTCTGCATCACAAGAACGGCCCTAAAACATTATTTAATTTCTAGCTAAAAAGAGAGGGGTATCTTGGTATCAGAGGAGCAGCTGTCACACTGCACCACAAGACATCACTGTTTAAAAAAGGAAAAGACAGTGAAGGATGGGTAAGGAGCAGCCCATAGAACAGGCAGAACAGGTGGTCCTCAGAGAAGAAACATCAGGCTAAAGGGAGGTCACTGCTACAGCCCAGGGTGGCCTTGTGTGTGGTTTTGTTTACAGCCTTTATGAATACTCAAAGCACGAAATGCAGAAGTACGCAGATGGCACAAAGTTACCAGGCATCTGTAAACAATTGAGACAAAAGAAGGCTGGCTTGCTCAGCATCATAAACTGGAGGTTAAAAGAGAAAACGTGACTACTTTACATGCACATGGAGTACCTCTCCAAAGAGAAAATAGGAGTGGGGGAGCTGAGGCTGACCAAGCATATGTGGGTACTTGCTGACATAGAATGTTACAAGACCATCCTAACTACTGTGGCAGCAATGTGGAAAAGCCTTCAGTTACAGAAGTAGCTACTCTTCTAGCCTCAACATACTGTCTTAACAGTAACTATTTTCTGTCCAGTTTCCTCAATCAACTACATGAAGACCTGGTAAGACTGAACTGTTTCAGGTTAAATTTAAGGGCTAAAATGTTTCAGTTTGAGAAATCACAGCTCCGACCCTCAAATCTCTGTGAAAAGATCCTTGCTGTATTCCACAGAATTTTGTTCTCTTTTCCCTTCCTGCCTCCACAGGCTTGATCGATAAAAACCATCCGAAACCACCCCTTACCATCTGGCCAGGATGTGGCACAGGGCTGGGCATGCCACCGTACTGCAGCGAGCGGGGGAAACCTCTCCCATTGGAAGGGCCCACTTCTCGAGGAGGCTGCATGGCATTTCCACTTGGATCCTCTGCAGAGGATGAGGAGAAGGAGGAAGACGAGGAGGAAGAGGAAGAAGCAGGAGCCCTAGAAGTAGCTCGATACGGTGGAGGTTTCCCTCCGTTTTCCAGGCGTTGCTGCCTCTTGCCTGGTCCCTCTGAGTCTCGTGACCGAGTCCAAACATTGCCACCACTGGAGCGGCCAGTCCGCCGGCTCCTCTTCTCCCGCCTCCCGTCTTCTCTGATCCAGAACTCCTCATCCGTGTCTCCATCTTCCCCAGGGAAGTGCTTCATCATTGCTCGGTGGAAACATCTCTCCAAATTGTAAGCCATCTTGGTATATTCTGCCACGAAAAAAATCCAGCAATGTCAGGGACAGAGACTTTTAGAGAAGAACTGTTCAGCAATGCTGGACTTTTCTTATTTTCCAGCCAAATTACCTCCACAAAGTCTTTCGGAGAAACACTTCCGTTTCTATCTAGCTGACTTTGGTTTATATTCTTAAACTTGATAAGCAGTGCAGCATCAGATTTGTTCAGTAACCCCACCAGAGGACAGGCACACAGGCATGACAAAGTACCGCTAGCGGCACGGCTTGCACAGTCAGCATTAACCTAATGTCCCAGAATAGTGCCAAGAATTACATTATGATGGACACCACCTCTGCTTGCAGAGATGTGTGACCTGCACAGTTAGCCAGCAGTGCTGAGAGAAGAAATGTTAACTTCCAAAGATATCCGATTATCTTTAGAGGCTTTTCTTGGACTGGTTCAAATCTCTGCTATATGCTACAAGACAGAGAAAAATCAGCAAAGACACTTTCTCCACTTTCAGCTTTTAAAGCATTTGCTGACCACGACAAAAAAGCTATTACAAATATCAGTGTCATAATCGTGTCACTTCCATGGTACAGTTCTGCTCAGGGGGGGCACCTACATTTCATTGGAATGGATAAGAATAAAAAAAGACGTGTGAGAGGTGTCAGTGACACCTTTGTAGCAAATAAGTTTCCAGTTGTTTCTGTTGAAGTAGCCTAGAAGTTCCTTGGGAAACAAAGCTCTCCCAGCAGCAGCACAGGAATGCTTTTACTTGGGGCCCACAGTGACAAGCTAAAGAGCTCGAACTAGTTCCAATTTGAAGACAGTCTGCAGTGATGACCCACCATATGGGAACTGATTTCTTACCTAAGCAACATGCAGAATTTTAATTGGCATGGCAATTAAACCCAGAGTTTCCCATTTGTGAACTCATGTTATTCATTCAATAGCCAAGGAAGCTAAACAAAAAAGATGTATTTTCTATCCCAAAGTCTCATTTCTCAGATTTCTGCATTACTCTGCAAACATTGAGGACTGACCAGACTCCTCTGCTCTTTAAAGTACATGTTAGATAGTAAGAGACAAAGAAGCACAGAAACATACGCAGGCACACAAAGGAACAACCTTGCAAAAAAAACAAAAACACAAAACAACAAAACAAAACAGATTTTGTATGTTCCATCTTCATTATCTACCAACATATGAGTTCCATTGTGCCAGCCCACCAATTAGCATGACAATTGTGCTGAAAACCTGTCTAATCCCTGGGCTTTATTACTCAGGAGCTCCTACTCTTTCTTCCAGACTCTCAAAAATACCCTGGAAGAAAATAGACATAAATCCAGTTGTGGTGAGTAGGGAAAGATCAATACTTGTTTGGACTCAGCACTGCAAATAGATGAACTTAACATCTTACTGCTCTTACCACTGCCTTCACCATTGTACTTAAGACAGTTCCTGAACATGGTCTTCATATCGCCCACAAATTCTTCCTTGGTGCAGTACTGACCTCCATTCAACTTCTTCTCCATGCTAGAGATGTCCATGGGGGCCTGAAATGCAACAAAGCTTCCCTTGAGTTACAGTGAGTGCAGTGGGACTTGCAATGTTGCATAAATTACAAGCTTCTTCACAGAAAGGCATGAAGAGCAGAGACTCTCATCATGCATTTCCTAGACCCAAAGGAACCCCTGCAATTTGACTTTGAGGATTACACAGCCCACAGAACTTCAAAGCACAAATAAATAATTGCACCTCAGTCAACAAAGAGCATCAGCCAGGCAAGCTGTATTGTCTTCCCTACCTTAATGATCTGGTAGTAGTTGGGAGCATATGATTCATCAACAGGTTCCAAGAAAGGCCAAGAATCCTTGTGAGCCTTTACCACATCTAGAACTGGTAGTCACAAAAGACAGGCAATTGTTAGACACACATGCCCAGGGGAGTCATTCAAAGAAGAAAAGTGGGACAGGATGACTAACCTTTATACATGGCTGTGAACTCATCATCCAGTTCAAAGCTGTAATTGAAAAAAAAAAACAAACAACAGTGAATACAGACTTAGGACACACAAGGCATTTCCTTTTACCTCATCTTCCCTTCCACACCACACGCAGTGCCATGATGTTAACAGGCTTCATCACAAACACTCCTCTAGCATGGAACAAATCCAGATGTTTCTCAGCTTATTCCTTGCAGCTCTCCAACCTCATTTCTCCCTCCTCATTTCTGTGAATGATCACACTCCTCCCCTCCCTACAAATGCCCCACTGCACAGGTGTACTACAGGCACAGCTGCATACTCACAGATCCTTGGCCCTTCGTTCTTCCCTGGTAGGGGAACTGGGATCCAAGTGGGAAAGCTCAGGTGGGAGCTCCTTCCCCTGTGCCAGCAGCCAGGCCCGCTCTTCACGAAGCTTCCTCCTCCTGGCTCGTTCTGCAGCAGGAAGGGAAAATGAGCAAAGAAGCCATTCAGCACTACTTGCCAACAGTGTCTTGCAGGGAAAAGTCAGGCAGCTCCTGTGGCTTTCAAGAGCTCCACTGAAATGTTCTTTCAGCAAAGAAGCTGAGGAACTGATAGAATACCATGCAACACAAACACATCTCTTCAGTTTTTGTTGACAATGCCATCAAAAATTTTGGCATGATACTGTGATGCAGATGCTCTCTTAGCCAACCTCCAGAAAAGTTCCTGAAGACGGCGTGGTACAAAGAGAGAAGTTCAAAGCACAGACTGAGGCACAGATCAGTTCAATGGAAAGAGTTGGCTTGTTAAGTTACCATCCTACAGCTGTTCACTGCTACTCCCATGCTGTCAAGAAGGAGCAATTATTCCTCAGCCACATGAACTCAAGGCAGCTGGTTTTGCACTGAGGATGATAAAGAGCAGTGCTGAAGGATGAATGAAGTTCTCCCATCTGGGTAGCAATGAGTAGCTGGGGTCAATAATATTTTCCATCACCAGAGCTAGCTTTGGGAAGATTGTTCAGGTGGGCCTTCACTGCCTGGGCAAGTAAACCACCATGCTGGAAAGCCATTGAGACAGGTTAGGTTTAAGAGGTGAAAGACAGGAAGAGGCAATACTAGTAATATAATCTGTGGTTTGCAACCAGACAGCTGGCTAACAGACTGCTTCATAATATATAGTTTATGGACTCTTATGAGCCTCATTTCCTTTTTGTTAAAGCAAATCTGAATTCATTTGACTTGCTAAACACCTGCAATTGTATCAACCTTCTGCTTAAGCAGAACTTTCTGCAAAAATACTCAAAGAGAGATGATACAGAAAAAAACACTCCAGAAAACAGGCCACAGCTGGGGCACCTGCTCTGGTGGAAGGGTATAAATATTCTCTCTTACTCCACCATAAGAAAGCTTGAGATGGAGAGCAGGCAGACAAGAAAACTAGAAGTGGGCATCTCCAGAATAGCTCTATCTGTATTTCCTTACAGTCCTTACTCTGACATTAGAGTGACCGCTTCCATAGACATTCTGGTGCTAAATATAAAGGTTTACATGTTCTTCCTGTAGATACTGAGGAAAACGTCCTTCTCCCTGAAAAGAAGTTGACAGTCATAGCTGTGTCCCATCAAAAAAACGCAATGGATTTCTCTATTGGGAAGAAACCAGAGATGTCACAGTAACACACTGACATGACCACCATTAGCATCACTGCAAGTCACGGCTTCACTTGAGGAACAAGTCCTTCATCTTAATGCATATTCTGACAAGATAACAGGTGTTCAGAAATAGCTACAAGGGAGATACTTACAGAGAAATCCATGACCAGATATATCAAAGACTAGTTAAAAAAGAAGTCCATATTTCCCATAACCAGACTGTGGGTTGCTCTGAAGATGAAAGGACAGGACTTGCATCTACAATGTCCTACAGAATCTATCAGCATCTTTTATACTATGTAATGAGAAGAAGTCCAACATCAAACTACAGTTAGCAGAGATTAGCAGAGTCAAGCACAGTTCAATACCACATGCTTCTTTGGTAAAACTGACATCACTTAGATGGCATTACTATGGATGCCAAAGTGAACAAGCTGAGAAATATGTATGGCAATGACCTGGGCAGCAAAAGGAGAATTTCCTGGCAACAGCAACCAAGAGGTAAGGTCACGTAGATTTTAGAAATCCATCAGTACCCATCAGGGACCCAATACAATAAACTTGACAGGAATTGCTATGTGCTACCCTGCTACAGCTCAGGCCCCTGCAGTACAGGAAGATTACACAGCATGTTAAAGGTACAGCTCACCGTAATTGTTTTAATGGGTCGAGATCTACTCATCAAGTATCAAAAGCTAAGTAATGCCCTAAAAAGTACCTCAGACAGCTAGCAAGTCATGTACGTGAGAGGTAACGTTTGAGCAGCATCTGTGAAGAGAACTGGAAAACTCTAACATTCTGTTCTGGTAGAAATCTAGAAAACTGCTTTAACTCAAAGTCAGGAAAGTCCAGATGGGCCCAGCAGGAGGGTCACTAAATGGGGTGTGTGTTGGAGTGAGGGGAAGTGAAATCCCAGACTAGAAAGAGGAAAGCCATCTGAAAACAGGCACAGAGTCCAAAAACGAGAGCCAGGTGAAGTGCTGATGAAGTCTCAAAGAGCACAGACATTCCATTCTGTGTTTCATATCACCCCTCTACAGAAGATCTTGCAAAATCGCTTGGGATTTAACAAAAGAAGGCAAAACACAATAAAATCCTTGTTACTCTCAGTCAGGGGATGTCCAGTTTTAAAAAGTCTGAGCCAAGCAAAACAAATGACTTCATTTTCAAATGACTTTCTGTTCATCATAAGAACTACCACAGTGCTATGCTAATGGAGGGGGTGCTTGACAATAAGGAAAGATGGTTAAGAAGCCAAAGTTTTTCCTGGAAAGCTGCCGTTTCTAGGGATGAAAAACACTGACATGATTTAACTGAACAAATGATTTAAATAATCTTTCCAAACAACTTTTGCATCACTTTAGAAGTGGACTTCTCTTGACTCAGCCTAAACTGACTGGGGAAAAAGTTTGAACTGAACTGAAAGAAACTGTTCAAATGAAAATAAAAGTATGCCAGTCAAAGAAAGCACTAATTAATACAAAATGGCTTAAAACAATTTACTGACCAGCCCCATGCCAGTTTTTTGACTGGCTCTGGTACATTCACATCAGATGACACAGTGCTTGTGTTTACCCAAAAACTGACACAGCTTATAAGAAAACAAGCCCAGCTCTGAATATCACATTTGTCTTTGCAGATCTTCAGGATCTTCAAGATTAATTTTGTCTATACAGGTAAAGAATTAAAGCACAAAGAATATGCAATATGCCAAGGTGAAACAGATGTCTGTGGCAGATCAGGAAGCTGGATGACTCTGAATTTAGAGCCCCAGATTAGCCAGGACTGGCAACCAGAAATATATGAAGGCCAAGTAAGTAATTGGATTCTCAAAGGGCTAGAAAGTAAGCAGGTAAAAGAAGCTATTCTTAGATAACATCTGGTCTGCTATCAAACATCTGGTAGCAAACTGTTTCATCTTGGAAAGTTTATGGGGTTTGCATGAACTTTTTTTTTCCCTTCCCCTTCTGATTCTTTATCAATTTAAAGACTCACAGTACTGATACTGTTATGCAGCATGAGAACAGTTTCATGAAGACGTTGTGTTTCCCTAGAGCTTCAACAGCCCAGCCAGTCACTGTGGCACAGCAGAAAAAAACTGAAGTTATCACTTGCCAGTGCTCAGTTTAGCCTGGTCCTCTCACCTTAAGTTTTCTAGCTAATGAGGGCAGTAGGAACATGAAACTACTATTCTTGCTACTCCCATGTCATCCCTTTCCATTTTGTCCTGAAAGGAGTCCTTTCGTCATGCAGCAGACCAAAGGGACAAATGGCTGTTCAGCAAGAGTAAAGTCAGCTAATCCGGCACACAGAGAAATACATGAGGACCACAGCAGGAAGATGGAAGGAGGAAGCAGAGGAACAATATGAATGGTGGGAGAAAATGAGTATAACTCAAAGGTAGAAGACAAAACTGAAGGGCACATAAGATAACAGTCATCAACACAGAGATGGAGGATGAGGCAAAAAGAAACTACTGTCAGACCAATTTGTCTGAGCCAAGTCCAAGAAAAGACATCTCCATTAGCATGCCTGGCAGGGGAGGAACGCAAATGGTAGATCTTAATTCAAGGCTTTGGTCTCAGCTTCGAAATCTCCCAGCTCTGCTTCACACTGCACGTACCTTCCACTGCTTTGACCTTCTCCTCCATCTCTCTCTTTCTCTCCTCCTTTAGCAGCTGCTCCTGCTCCCTTTTCTGCACCGCTATAAGGATTTGGCGCTCCTCTTCTTCCTCTCTGCGCCTCTGCTTCTCCACTGAACTGAGCACATTTGGGTTTACCTGTGACAGAACAGTGCACAACAAAAATGTAATGCATTGGCTTATTCAGGTCTGAGCAGAGGCAGGTTTACTTTGAGCAAGTACTAGGCACAGTGAATGCTGGAACGACAACAAAAAGATTTGCACATGTGAATTCTCAGATGAAAAGCAACACGCAAAGGAAAGTTACTTGTCAAGCAATGAAACCCTACTGACCCAAGGAGAAAGGAAGGAGAAGTAATTGGTTAGACAAACTGCTGCTCCATCAGAGATGTATCTTTCGGATTTCCCTTCTGGGCAAAGAATCCTGGCTGTTGATATCTCTATTTAACACCTTCTACTCTTTCCATTAACCGAGTCTCGAGCTGCAAGAACAAGCAGTAAAAACTACTCTGCTGAACCTGGCTCTATCATAAAACACACAGTACTTGGGACAGAAAAAGAGACCAGTATGGCCTTACATCAAGGTACTCCTTGTGTTTCAAACTGTATTTCTGTATGCTAATCTGCCCCAAACTAGCTCTTGCTCATTTATTTGGGCAGTTTTTTTTCTACTGAGTCCCCTGGCCAGCATTCTCATTCAAGTACGCCTGGTTCTTTATTGCACTACTTCCTTACCTCCTCATGCCCAGCAGGCTGTAAGGCTGTGTTTGATCCCACTTAAGACTGCACACTTCCCAGACCAGGAATTGCCTGCTCCTATTTCTCCAATAAAGTGCAAAGTATGTATACCACAGTGTGGAATAACCTTTATTGCTTTAATTTAATTAAACGACAAATGAATCAGTCAACCACTCTTTGACTTATGCAAGATCAAGGTAAGTGTGCCTGATAAGCATGGAATGCCTACTAGAAAAGAACAACGTGCATAGTTTTGTTCACCTTCATTTTCAGTGACTAACCAGCAACTATCACTTAGGCAGAAGGCATTTCCTGAGGATTAGCAATCAGCTGGAGTTCCCTGGCTGGTGCTCAGACCATCAACCTCCCCAAGCCTATTATAATCCCCAGAAAAAAATCTGGCACCATGGTTACTATTTTGTTCTTGTTTCATTATCTAGAAGAGAAACCCCCAAGTGTCTTGGTAAATGCCCAGAAAAGTTATCTGTTTTACCACACATTCATTCCCTCTCTGCCTCTCCTTCTCCTGTAGGCTGCTACCCTATAGTATCCCCATGTAGATCTCCACAATGAGCATTCACATGTTATTTCCATGTCCCCAGTAGAAATACATCAAGATAATTATGCTTCTACCACAAGCAGCTACAGAAAGAAGCCTCCAGTATGAGATTCTTCACAATATCAGGACCTTAGCCTGCATTTAGGGGCAGACTGGACAGCACAAACACCTAGTCTGTGCTGACCTTTTTAGGCAAAACTCACAGCAGGATCTCATCACCGGGGAACTCTGCCTATGTTCTTCTCCTTTTTAGATTCTGCCAGCTATTAGCAATTAACGCTTGCACTAATTTCCTAGGGAAACTGTTCTGTGAACCCCAGCTTGTTTAGGTTAGCCACGTTCTCCTCACTTTCAGTCCAAAGTGAATTTTTCATCCTCTCATTCCATCCAATTATGCCTAATTACGCTCCTCAGTGTTGGCATAAATGTTCCTCTTCTTCAGCCACATTCCAGTGTTTATGGGCTTCCTCAGACACTTGCACAAAACTTCTGTGTTTCTGTACCTAGCTTAAATGTTTCTGCATAAAGCAATCCTTCCAGCTCCCTAATCATTCCTGTTGTATTTCTCAGATGCTTTCACCTCCCCATCAATAAGTAAACACCAGGATGCCCAGTACTGGCACTGGTACATCAACTACAAGAGATTAAGAACTTACAGAATTAGGTCTTGCATTTTCACTTTCTATTCTTTTCACCTCTTTCTCAACCATTCTACTATCCTACCCTCTACTCATACACTGCACATATCTTTTCAGCTCATCCTGACAGTCTTGAAAGAGTTTTCTTCTAAATTTCTTGTCCAATCCTTAAATTATAATAGAAACAAAAAACAAAACAACAAAAAAAAACCCTTTGTGTTCTGCAGCCATTAGGAAGAGAAAGAGGAGAGCAGAAACCAGCCACCAGAAGTCAGCACAGTAAAGATTTAATTGAGGATGTGACCATCAGCCTTTAGGTTCTCTAGCCTGTAGACCTAAGCCAGCCTGGCATGCCACACTGATTTGAGCAGGTGGTGCACAGATAAGGCCTCCTCCTCCACTAGATGCATACAGCATCCATCATTCAATACCTACAGAAACATGAACACAACATCCAAGTAGCAGTGGTGAAACCAGGACCTCTCTGAGCCTGCTGGGTGCATTGAGCACTCTAAGCTGTAAAGGCACAACACAGAATCCACACCACATTCCAGATCAACCCACCACAAATGTGGCATTCACACAGCAGGGGGACAATGTCAGGCAAAGCAGACGATGCCATCCTAACAGATCTCATAAGAGAAGAGATGACAAACTCAGTCTAGAAGGTATCTAAGGCTGCAGCAGATGCCCACAGTCACAGCACGTGCTCCCCTGTAGATCTTGCAGTAGTAGAGCAGCAGTGGCAATGCTGGGATGGGCTCTTTGAGACACTGCAGATGCAGAAATAGCTTCATTTCCAGAGGGACCTACTGCCTGCTGCCCCATTTACACCCATTGGAGCTGACTGGGCTCATATCTCAGAGTTAAAAAAAAAAATATATATATATGAGAAAACAAAGCCAAATAAAATTAGACAGGAGGTCCCAAACTCATACTAGGTGTGACAGACCTACTGGCAAGACAATCACAAGAAACTAACACAAGTTAAGCCTTCTTCTTGAAAGAAAAGGTGGAAAAGGGCATTTCTCTTGGCTTAATACTCAAGTGAAAACAACAACCCACACATCTGTGACCATGGCATCACCACCTCCTTCCCTCCGCCAGAGAGCACTCCAGGACACAACATTGCTGCCTCCCCCAGACCCCAAAAGGGCAAGTTTTCTATCTTTTCCTTTGCTTTCAGACAGTGGGTATCAGACTTCAGGAGGAACCAGAGGCACAGATGCCCCCAGCACTTTGCCCTTCAAACCCTCTCTGCTCCGATTTCTGCTGCACTGCCCTAATGAGGGTGCTGCTCAGGCAACTCTTTAATGAGGAGCTAATCTGAACCACCTGTTGAGAAACCCCCGCAGGATTAGGAGCCTATGGAGCAGTTGTATCTTGGACAAACGCGGCATCCACTTCGTGGAGCTGGGAGGAGGGGGTTACCCCCACAAGGGACCTGAGCTTTTCTCCTCAAAGTTTGCCTGCTGCCCACCCCTTGCTCAGCCAGCAAACCATCAGACATGCTGGCACCTTCCCTCCCTCCCTGCAGCACACACAACTGCCACATCCCTCGCTGTCTGGAGATTCACCACCCTGGTGCTGCCTGGCTCGCTGCTCCCCAGCACGGCAGGAGCTGGGAGGGCCCCCGCTCACTGGAAAACGTTTCACTGGCCCACAGGCAGCAATTAACAACCCTCTGCAGCCGCAGACCTGGAGCACCTGCGGTACTGATTAGCATCATTCAGGCTCCATGTGTTTCCCACTCCCCTTCTCCACTGGGATTTCTGCTGCCTGTGAACAAACACGTGGCCCTGCGTTTCCTGGATGGGGGGCTTTGCAGAGAGCAATGCTGGCCCCAAACTGACCATCACCAGGGTCTTATTTTCCCCTCTGCAGGTTTTTATCTGCAGCATGATGAGAGGCTCTTCCTTCCTTTATGTATTCTAAGTAATCATATTTATTGTGGGGAGCTGTACTTTCTCCTTTGTTTTGCAGGAAACACTGACATACGTGGAATATTCCCTGCCATTCAATTTCCCAGCATTTGATAGCTTTCTGGGACAAAACACCAGATAACTGTGCTTTCATTACATCTGCAGTGAGGGATTATGCCACAGCCTGATAGAACCAAGCCACTTTTTTCCTCCAAAGCTAATCCTGTGTTGCTTGACCGATTTCTCTGGGCAGCAGTTGCCAGTTCAAAGACCCCCCATCTCCGCCGTACCGTGCTCCTGGCTGTGCCAACGTGACTGTTGGGAGCTGAATGGTGAACTGAATTGGAAAACTGATCTACGTTAAAAATAACCCCAACCAAAGAAAAAAGGTTATATTTAACTCCAGTCGTTTTCCTGGGTCTGGTTCACTGCACAGACACACAAGCAGCAGTGCCGTGCCATCAACGGGGCGGAGGAGATGAGGGTGAGGAGGCACGGATAGAGCTGCTTGAGCTGGTCTGACAAGCGCTTCTTTAAACAGCCTAAATTGTGATTTTTGTTTCCATCTGATTCCCCCTAATTCAGCTCTGTGCTGCATCAAGTCCTTGTCTCTCTCCGCACTATCTACACCCTCATGTGTTTGCAGCCTCACGTTTTTCCCTTGGCTGAATTTCTGTCATTTCCCTTTGTAAGCCAGTTCTTCCAGCCCTCTCATCCTTCTTCAACTTTTCTTTGAACTGCCTCGAATGTGCCAGCACTTTCATTGAAGTGGAATTCCCCAGGCTGAGCGCAGATTTCCATATGCAGCTGCACCAGCGTCTGCAGCAAGGCCGGTTACCTCTGCGATCCAGAGGGCAGCACCTCCCTGCTCACCATAGAAACCCTGAGTGTCAGCCTGCGTTTGACCGGCATTACCACCCATCTTTCTTTCAGCACGAGCACTTTTCAAACGGCTCCTTCCCACTGAATAGCGATGCTGTGGTTTATTTTTTCCCCCAGGAGGCATCTGCTCTCGCCTCCCTCCGTTGTCCTCCCCCTCACACCCCCCCTCACCTCCTGCTTGATTGGTTTGATGGGCTGATGGTCAGACATCCACCTGGGAGAAAACTCTGTCCGCTGTAGACGCTTCTCCTGAAACAGGGTTGAGAATTGAGGGAAAGAAAAAGAGAGTGGAGGAAATTAGGGCACATCAGTGACAGTGGCAGGAGAAACTCTGGGGGAGAGAAGTGACCATGAAATCCCTGTTAGCTTTACAAAGGTAGCAAACACGCTGAACTCAGTCCAAGAGTACCATGCTGACTGCAGAGCCCGTTTTACAAAGCCTTCCAGCTGAAGGATCCCACTTCTATTCTGACCCATCTGAAAACATTCCTTTAACGGACAGTACCCATCAGAGTCTGAAGGCTCTGACATACTATTTCAAGCAGACTTAAAGAGGACGGCCAAAGCAGCAACTGCCCCTGCAGTAGAGCCAGCAGAGAAACTGCAGTAAAAGTGAAATCAGAGGCAGTTTGCATAGAAAAGCCAGGCAGTAAATCGCAGCAGTTCAAAGCAGACAGATTCCCTGCTAGCAAGAAAGGGACACAGAACACAGCTGAAGACAGTAACCCCTTCAGCCATCCTACCAATGCTGATGTGCAATCATGAATCAGATCTCTAGCCCTGCCACTTCATCAGGGGGAGTCTTTCTCCCTGTAGATAAGCTAGACAGCCCCTATATCCGGGGCGCTTGCAGTCTGGAGGTGGGAGCAGGATGGGATGTTGTCTGCACAGTCAGCTCTCCTTCTGTCAGCAAACGTCCGTGCTCTTGGAAGTGGCCAGACAGAGGTAAACAGGATGTTATGCCTCCTCACCTTCTGTGCAATCATGTTGCAGATCTCCGGCAGGAAGTCTTCACTCAAGAGTTTGTAGAGCTGCCGCTCTCTAAGGGAAGTCCTCTCTCTGAAGCTCTCGGTGACCTGCCTCCATTCCTCTTCCGTCTGGCACAGCAGCCACCATGTCCCACGGCCTGGCCCTTGGGACCCTTCAACAGCATGCAAGAACGTTATCTCCACAGCAGTTATGACTAAGAACTTTTACCCCTTCTCTTCTCCTACTCTCAGGGCTTGGGAAGAGCAAAAGACACTGTTCAGGGTCACTGCTAAGGGAAACATGCTCTAGCAGGGTAAGCACCATCAATGAGCACAAAAAGTCACTGCTGTAGACCCAAAACTCTTGCCCCACTGGAAGTACTGTTACCTCCCCTAGTGACACTGCAAGTGATGCCAAGACAGGGGAATGACACAGGTGAAGAAGTACTGGTAGCGTGGCACTCTCCAGTTTCAGTTCTGACATACCAGAGGAAAGGATTTAATTTGTTTCTGGTAACGGAGGCTGTCAGCCAGAGCAGGACATAGAGTAATGCAAATGCTTGATTTAGTCTGGCAGCAGAATAAAAACACTGGAAATGAATGTTATTTGAAATAAGCCAACATTTTTTTTAATTTTTTTTTTTAGTGCTGCAAACCTTTGCTGCGGTGAATGAAACCTCCCATTCTACCCAAATGAAACGTTTTGTTTGCAGGCACTTGAAAGAACTGAAGAGGAAGTGAAGGACGGGGTTCATCGGGCTGCCAGATGAGGGGGAAGTTGCAGAAGTTCACATCCCATCCCTGCTTGATCCAGCGTCAGATCTGAAGCAGATCTCCCACCGCTCTGAAGCATGTCCCAACTACCAAAACATTCGGGACCGTTCTGCTTTGTGTGAAACATTTGAATATTAATGGTGAAGGAAAGGCTCTCACACAGTGGTTGGAACACCCACCTGGAAAGAGGCAATGCTGTTCCTGCTGCACAAATGTTTACTCAGAGCAGAGAAGCCTCATGGGTTGCAACTTGCATGTTTGTGCCCAAGGATGCTCTCTAGGCAGAGTTGGTGGACTGCTTTTGGGGAGGGGGAGGATTGGCTCAAATCCTTTTGGGCTGAGGAGCTTTCAAGAAAACCCAGGCTAATGACTGGCTACTGGAAAAAAAGCAACAGTTGCCGCCCCACCATAAGATGTCATGCAGCTTCTCACTGCATTTTCAAACAGATTAACAATGAAAAAATAAAAATATGCAAAAACCAGAGCCTCTTACTCTCTGAACCTGACCTTGGTCCCTATGTGGTTTTGAACTGTCAGCAGCTCCCATATGCAAGCTATCAATCAGGTTCCCCTAGGAAGGCTGGGGAGCTGTAGCCTCCCCCTGATCCCCTGCCCTTGGTCACACACCTCAACTCCATGGCAGCTCCAGGTCACAGGCCAGCACACAGCTGAACTCACCATCAGCTGCAGCTCACGTTCATGTAACTGGGATGGCAAAGGAGCAACTTCACACTTACTTTCCATCACTCTGGCTTTGTGATGCTGTCTCTTTGAGCCAAAGGAGGCAGAGGAGGACTGAAGACTGTGATACCTCAAGCTATTGCAGCCAACCCTACTGGGGCTTACTTGCGTGCTGCCCCCAAGTCTGCCCCCTCTATTTCCCTTCCCTTGCCAGCTGCCTGTGGCCGATTGGCTTCAAAAGCAGCCAGGACCAATGCACTGCTTTGTGCCACCAGAAGATTACTCCGCAGCTAAAGTGGCACAATTTGCCAGAAAACAACGATCTGATAAAACCCACAGTGTCTCATGCATGTAGCTTCAGCTCTGTCTCTTGACTCCAGAGCAGCAGCCAGGAAATCTGAGCACAAAAGCAGAAGGGAATGAGGCACGGTAAGACAATGCCACAGTTGCCTTTTATTGTGGTGGAATAGGCAGGCTGAGCCTGTGAGTTATGTGGAAGCCTAGGGATTCTCATGTATGACAAATGAGCCCAGGTCCCCTCAGACTCAGTTGCACATGATGTTGCCAACTCTCTTTTTCTGCTTGCCTCATTAACCCTTAGGTAGGTATCTCCCAGTCAGCACTTAAGAGCACTGAGCTCAGTCACCAACAGCCCCCAGGAGGGAAAGGTGAGGAGAATCAGGGAGGTCCTCCCCTGTCTTGGCATCACCGACCTCGCTCTCTTCCCAGTCCGTGCATGTGGCACGAAAGAAAAAAATGTGCTTGCTACAAACAGGGGCTTGCATTCAGCTCACCCCTGGAGAGGCAAAGGGCCGTTCACAGCCCGTTTCCATCAACTTGAGTGAGAAGGTAGGCCCCTAAGGCCTCATGTAACCCAATAAGTTACATCTCTTCATCCCAAGCTAATCCACAATAAGATAGGAAGCAGTCAGGTGCTCAGGCTCCCAGCTGCAAGGCAGCCTGTAACGCTAACCCTCCTTCCAGACTTAGTCAGACCACTGACAGACAGACTCTCCCTTTCCCAAGAAAGGCATCTCCACAGGCTTTGATAATTTAAAAGCTGTGTTAGCTGATCATATCAACTGTGACCCCACAAAAATCTCTTTACCATTTCTTATCTGAGTCTCACGGATTAGCAAGTTCTCTTCTGCCTTCTCCCTACCAAAAAGAAAGAGAAGGAGTTATACAATAAATGCATTACTTCACATCACTGAAACACTGCTTCTGAAGAGAAGAATGAGGTTGCAGCAATGATTCAATGCAGAGCAAAACCACGGAAAAAAACCTACTCTTTTTAAATACATATGTTTATGGACACACACATACATATCTACACATATATACATTTACGACAGCTTTGAAAAATTTGAAGAAGTGAGGGATGCAGGGCAGTATTTCAATACTCAAGGGAAGTACCCCAAAATATGTACGGACTCAAGTGGCTAAGATTTTGGCTTCAAGCGCTGCGCAGTGAGTCAATGTACGCCTTATCAAGAGCATATCCCCTAACACTGCACAGAGGAACTGCATTAGAAGTGAGGCAGCTGGAAGAGCGATACCCAGTGTTTCACCAAGCTTGGCTTCCAGCTCAGTCAGAATTTTCTTTGGAAAGTGATCAAAGCATCCACCAAGCCTGAGCTTGCTTCACTTCAGAGATGCACTGAAATTATGGTTGCATGACATATACATACTTACCAGAGGAACCCCAGAAGCACATTATATTATTAATTGCAAGAAGTATCAGAGAGACTTTCCTCTGGGAACACATGCATCCCACATCTCTTGCAGGAACCTTTCCATACCTCAGCAAATTTTCCTCCAGTAGTTTTTTCCGCTTTGGGGGTCGCCCTCGTCTCTTGCCTGTTTTCCCAGGAACGTTTGGAGTATTTGTCTGTCCCCCACATCCCCTGCAGAATGGCAAAAACACCATGAAATATTTGCTGAGCACGGGAACTGTGGCTGGCGGGGACAGAGAAAGGCAGGGATATTGGAACAGCTGTGAAGAACCAAAGCAAAGGAGGGATTAAATCAGAGCAGCCACAGGACGGAGAGGAAAAGAAGATGAGGGTTTCCCCCTTGCTGAGAGCTTGCTCTGGGAGCCGCCGGCACAGCGCGGGGCAGCCAGCAAGGAATGTGGTGGGGCGGGCGGCATCGCTCAGCAGCAGGCTCTGCTGGTGCCACAAAGGCTGCAGGCTGGCTCCGGCACATTGTGCCACACAGGACAGCTCGCAGTCTGCTTGGCAACTTCGTGCTTGCCCCGTGCTGCTGCAGCCCTGCATTCCCAGCCACCCCCTCCCGTGACAACAGCAGTCAGGCGGATCCCCCTCCGGCCAGGCTGGCTGCGCTGTCCCCCTCCCACCACGCCCTGGGCATAGGGGCATTTGAGTATCCGTTACCTGTCTGGAGCCAGCTCTCCGTTGGTTTTCGCCTGCACTGGGTCCTCCTTGTACATCCGTGTGCCATAGAAATACCAGTACAGAGCCCCGCTGCTGTCTTCACCCAGCGGCTCCACACGGAGGCTGTCAGCGTCCAAGCCCTGCACCCACGGGGAGCCCCCCGCCAGACGGTGACAAGTTGAAAAGCAGCCACACTGTCACACAAAACATGATGACACCCCTCCGCAAACACCTCCCTCCTTCCCACCATGCCACAACAGCAGTACAGCTGCTCCTCCGGGTCGATCTGGGAAAATGTTACTCCTGGGGGGAAGGCGACGTTCGCTCTCCGTCCAGGGAGGGATTGAGATTGGCATCTCTAATTTGAATGGCCTCTCTCGTTTTAACATTTCATCTCTGGTGCTCCTGACAGCGAAGGTCTAATTAGTGCTGGCGACAGCCATGCACAGCCTTGAGAAGCTCCCTCCCCCTCTTCACCACCCTTCCCCCATCCCCCAATGCACTTCAGTCCTATCCTTTCATCTCACACCATCCCTCAGCAACACAGCCCCAGCTTGCCCAGCCCCGCCACTGCAGTTGGAGCATCTCCAAATTCAGTCATCTCAGAAAGAGTAGCTAATGAAGCCAACTTGCTTGGTGACTTTTATGTTACAAGCACATCCCCATAGAGCAAGAGCCTCAGGAGTAGTCCTACGTCATTGACTTGGATCCTCTGCAGGGTGAGAGCTGGGGAACAAGATGTGGAACTGCTGACACATAGCACTGCCACCAAGAGTCTGGCCTCAAAATATCCTTCCCAAAAAGATTCCCTAATCTGGCCCACAGCCAGGCCATTTCCTCTGTCCCCACATTCCCACTGCCCAGCGTACCTTGAGGAGGTCAAAGACATCATCTGCATCGAGCCGGTAGTCACAGAGGCGGTGCAGGATCTCGACTCGGGTGCGCAGTGGTAGCTCCTGAAAGGTGGACTCTCGCAAGGGGTTGGGTTTCCCTTCCTCCAGCTCCCAGCGGTAGTTGATGATGTCCTCCAGGTAGCTGTGAAATGTCTGGGATCTAACCAAGGAAACAAACGCCCACACATAATGTAGTTTGCCACGCCAGAAACACCTGGAACAATCAAACAGCTCTTCACCTTGCCACTCGCTCCTCATATCTGCCATCGCTAAGCCAAGCTCCTCTCTCTGCCCCTTCTATAGTTTTCTATGCACTGGTTCAGTGGCTTGAAACTTTAGTAGCTGACCATCTCCACCACCACTATTTCCTCTCCACTTTGCCACCGTACACCTCCTATATTCCTGTTGTGGGCCCTCTTCTCTTCTCCCTTGCACTCCGAGGTGCCTCCTTTTCCCACCCATCCAACTCTTCCAGTTGCTCTGGAGTACACCCACAGGGCCCAGCCAACACACAGGACCTGTCGTGCAGCAAAGCATACTTGCTCCCAACAGGGGTAAAGTGTGCTTTCGGAGTGAGGGTTCAGACCATTGCATTCTCTTCCCTAGTCTGCCAGATGATCAAATCGAACATTTGAGTTCTTCTTAAACACTACCCCTAGAATGATCTTCCTCATTTGCTAGCTGGGCCACATTAAATCCCCCTTTCTTTGCCAGCAGCTCACCACATAATCCAAGGAAATGCATTTCTTACCCTCATCTGTTGAGGATAAATGTTCCTATCTGACACAGACTGCTGGTGGAACTTAAAGCTAAAAGAGCTCCTGGCTATATTTTAAGGAGAGCTTATTCTGACTGCTGAAAATTTAAGGAGAGGGTATGAAAAAAATGGCTGGTGAGGCCATGTGCCCCTACATACAACATTTTCTCGAGATCTATCTATATCAATTTGACATCCGAGACTTTCCAGTCTTTCTTAGTCTGCAAGCACTGAGTCCTGAGCATAGAGAAGGGGATCTCCCCCTCCCGCACCCCGGCCATTCCTGCACACACGGGAAGTCCATATGCCGGCAAGAACACCACTGGGTACACACTCCCACCAGCTCTCAAAAAGGCAGCTCAACTTGATAGGTTTTTGGCACAAACTCATTGCTCTATATGATTAATGGAACTGTGCCAGCATTACAGAATTGCATTTGCCCGAGAAATTTCTAACTACCACAAAAGCCATTATTTTTAAGCACGAGACAGAGGAGCAGGATCCAAGTGAAAGACTGTTAGAAGTCAATAAGAAGCTACCTATTAGACAGGGCGACTTAACGCACTTGGTAAAGACTGGACTTCTTTACAACAACCATGATGGGACAATGACTGCAAGAACAAGGAAACAGATGCCACATGATTCCACCTGGCAGTGTTTCCCTTCCTCCTCAGATGGAGAGAAATTGATGTTTTGCTCCTCACCAGCCTGCAGATTGCTCCCCACCAGCCTGCCTCTTTCTGACGTCAAATGGAAGCTGACCTCTCAGAGCCAACTCCTTTCACCGGATGAATTTTATCAGTCTCCTGGTTGTATTTAACAACAGATGCTTGAATACACCCAGATCTAATGCCTTCTGCAGCCTAGAGGCTGTTTCCTCTGCATGACACAAGCAGATCACTGGTCTTTCCAATCTGAGTGTAATTGTTTTGCCTCACTAACATCAGCAGTCAAACATATGCAACTTGAGAAGTTCCCTACACGTATGATGTTTAGTTAACACAATGAAGAACTGCTCTGTGAAGTGATTTCTGTCTCGAGTACTAATTACAGTATATAAAATACTGAAAGTATGCTTTTTCTCTGAAATTCTCAAGCACCATGCATTTACCCTAAGTAGCTGTGCATTCCCACAATGTCTTCCTCATTATACTCCAACCCAACTTTCAGCAATGACTTCAAGTTGGCAAGAAGCGTGGTATTAGATTCAACTTTATAGCCTTTTTTGTGTTTGAGGGTGCTCTTTGATCACACAAAGTTTAAATACTTGATATTTACAAAAGCCATCAGATACATATGTATGTATTTAAAAAATACATGCATTTTAAATACATCTATGTATTAAAAAACAAAACAAACAAACAAAAAAACAAAGAAGAAGAAAAAGATTCAACTCAAGCTCTCAGAATAGAAGCAGTGACTAGAATATCCTCTTCTGAATGCAGACCAACACCTATATTCAGACGTTAAGTCCATCGTGGAAGCATTTAAGCTTTCCAAAAGCATCTGAGTTCAAGGCATAAGATTATTTCATTACCTTTGATATAGATGATCTGTCTATTTACAGTAAAACTGACCAAAATACCTCCACATTTTTCCCAGGATCCTAGTTGTGACATAGGATGCCTGGAAGAAGCAGCAAAGGGAACAGAATTTTGACCTGTTAGCCTTCTGGCTGATTTTTTCTTCCACCAAAAAAGAGGGACAGATACTCTTACTACTCACATGAGCTCATTGATTTTGCTTTACCATTTTAGTTACTCTCAAAGAAAACTGATCCAGGAAGCCCTGCAATTCCAAAAGATCATCTGAAATCTTTGTCTATGTAACTCTCATTCTCTCTGGGGACTGGCTCTGTTGACTTATCCAATTTGGTTTGAGTTTGACTTTCACATAAGTGGCTAACACTAGAAATTTCCGCCATCCACTCAGTGTCCAATACATTACAAGCTCTGTTCTCAAGAGTACTCTGAGTTCCTACCCCCATCAATTTTCAAAGACGGCTACTGTGCATTTGTCGCTTTGAATAAGGATAGAAATGAGAACCAGAGATGGGAACCAGATGTCTCAGGGCATTCCCAATCACTCTCAATCTTACCCAATTTATATTTTCCCTCTTCAAGAGGTCTGGCTTCTTTTCTCCAGACAAACATGGGGTGCTCGTCTTCAACCTATCTGCCACACCTATGGTCCCCACTTGGCTGGTCTCCATTAAATCTCCCTTTGAAAAAAGGTTCTGAAACAGATCCCTTGGATTGAACGAGAAAATCTACAGAGAGCATAGCCAACTGTGAGACCTCACACCTTGGAGTTCTTCCCCATTAAGACATAAATGCTTCAGACTAATCATTTAGCAGTAGCTATAAAATCAGAACCCAAGAATCAGAGAGACAAGGTCCTGGAGAGGAACGGCCTGGATGCAGTTGTCAAATACCTTTCTTTACAGCTCTAAATAAGACAGAGACACATCTGCATGCTTGGCAGTCCTAGGGCGTCTCTGCTGCAGTTGAGAATCTCCAAAAACCTTTCTTGTAGGCAAGAAGAAGGCAGGGAGATCACTGAGTTGAGATAGAGATACCTCTTCTTCCAAGCTTCTCAGCATCACCGAGACTTGTAACAGCACTCAACCAACAGAAGCAACGTTAAGTGACAAACGTCCTTTCTTTTCTCTAAAAATAACATGTGGGAGTGAATCGATGCGCAGACACATTCTGTTTCAGGACAAGTATCCAAAGGAAAATCAGCTCTTCACTGAAAGTAAGCTGGGGCTCCTAGAAACTGTTTAAGAGAGAGCCCATGGCACACAGTGATTGTCACCATTTCTCACCCTTCTCCCTTCCACTGCCACGCAGCAAAAGCTTCTCCCATACAGTTCATTAGCAAAAGAAAACTGTTGTAGAAATCACCTACAAAAGGTCAGAAGAGTTAATTACCTTAGAGCACTCTGAGACTGTGAAACTTCTTCCTTCCCACAGTAAGTCTTCTTCCCCATCCCACCTTCACTAGCTGCAGCACCTTTAACATTTCAGAAAACCAAGGCAGTTTCCCTCACTTGTTATAATATCTCTGCTCTGAAGCTGCCACTCAACATGCAAAGCAATTTGGATAGCTGTAGTGGGGAAGTGGTGGTATAATACATGACTATCTACACGATATGTCCCAAGTGGATGCAGCTGATTTCTCTCATGAGCCCAATGTAATTTTTCATCCCTGACTGTGCTCTGAACCCCCCTGGGCTGCTGTCAGAGGTCCCTACCTTTTTTTGCAATGATTAGCAAAGAGGTCAAGCTGAATTGTACCTGTGGTTGAAAATTTTAATCATACCTCATGGACCTCTGTGCACATAAAAAGAAATCTGGGGCACAGGGAAGGACGTGACCTAGCACATCAGTGTCAAAGGGGAGAAATAACTGCAGACAATCCACAAGAGTACTAGCGAGGCTTTGGCTCAAGTTGCCTGTGATCTTTAGCAGCAGCTGCAAAAAAATCAGGGCATAAAGACGGCACGAGCAAGTCTAAGGAGGGGCTCCCCCCAACATGGGTATCAGCGTCCAGAACAGTCGGAGAAATTATACACCCCCAGAGAGCCCAGCGCTGCAGCTCAGCCATCTGCCTGGAGGTTTCTCCAGGAAATGGGAGCTGAGCACTCCATCCTCCACCCGGCCATCCCAATCCTGCAGTCTGCCACTGCTGGGGCTCATCCCGCTCCCCAAGGCACCCTTCCCATTGCCTGGGGTTTTGATGCGTTGGGCAACGCTTTGCTGTCAGAAAGACAGTGAGGACAGTTGTGGAGCAAGCCCCTTCCCAGTGCATACATGCTTCCTGCAGAGCTGCCTTTGGACACTGCCAAAGGACAGAGTAAACATTTCACAGGGCTGACGTGATGCAGAGAAAAATTAATTTGGAGCTCCTGGTGAGCTCAGCTGGGAGAAGATAGCTGCCCCCACGGACCCCAGCCCCAAGGGAACCCTGTAGGGCAAACTCAATGTGAAATCTCTTTTGAGTGAATCCAATAAGAGTAGGGCTAGAAATACACACCTACACTTATTTGTTTGGTTTGTTGTTTTTGTTTTAAATCCTCATCTCAAAAGGAAGCAGAGCCACTTGTGCTTTTTAGTTTTAAAGTCTCCAGAGTACATCAAATCTTGGCTGGGAAACTGTAAACAAAATCAAGCCAAAAAAAAAAAAAAAAAAAGAAAGCAAAAACAAACACTGATTCAGTAAGAGAGTCCTTGTGTCAATCTGCACTTCCCGCAGGCAGGGTGCCATGGCCCAAGTATGGAATTACTGTCACAGCATACTTCCCTATGCGGTCAACTGCTGCCAACTTTGTTACAAGCTCCCCCTCACCACTCCAATTAAAACAACAACAACAACAACAAAACTTTAAAAAAAGCACACAC